TTATAAATCTTTCTATTAATAGTAAACTAGGTTTGCCTTATAAATCATTATTTGTTAATTCAAAACTTACAATATTTGAGCCTTTACATGTAAATCTATATTATTATTTTGGATAAGACATTACATTGATATTGTAAACATTGGTCATGTCCTTCACTTTTTTGGCCAATAAACCAAATTAAAACTTTTCTTAATTATATGGATATTACATGTACAAAAGAAAAGTTTATTCTATAAACTATGTGATTTTTGATTATTTTGAAATTTGAAATTTTATTTATGATTTAATTTTTAATTTTTTAATTTTAATTTTTATATATTATTATTCTATAAATATTTAAAACTTTGACATATTATTCTAAAATATATTTATAATATTAATTTTAATTTTAACTAACCTATAAAATTATAAACAATAACTTCAAATCTAAATATATGTATTATTCAAGTTATCATTATGGTTTAATCTATAATTATAATAATTGAACTAAAAATTTATTGCTACTAAAAATACCCTAGATATTATATAATTTAACATTATAAATTTTTAGAAATATTAATGTTATAATCACAAAGAGTATTCTTAAAGAATTAACATACTTTAACATCAATTATTCGATAGATGACAAAAAATAATTCTAAAATTAAACAAAAATATTTATAAGATTAAATGGCTATAGATAATTTTTGGTTTTTTAATTATAGATAATTTCTCAATAAATGGATAAAATAAAAAATTAAATTCAATTAAATTTCATGCATTTCTATATTATATATTAATACTAAGCCACAACATAAACAATCTAAAATAAAGAATGAGAGATATTAAAATTTAACAAAAAATTCTTCATTTTTATTATTTATTTTTTATTTGAAGATTATATATATATATATATATATATATATATATATATGTATATTACTAAAAATAAACTAAAGTATAGTAAAATAAACTAGTATAGATCCTTGAATATATGGTATAAGTATGGAATAAGAATAAAAATCTATTAGAATTTGTGTAAATTATAATTAAAATATAATAATATTTTTTTGATTTAAAAAATACTAATAAAATAAAAATTTAATATATATTAAATTTTATTCAAAGTAGATGTTAATATTCTTAAAAAAATAGTAAAAAATTAAAAAAGTAAAAAAATAAAATATCTAGAAATTTAGCATTATAAAAAAAATAATACTAAATTCTATAGCAAATAGCATAGAAAATATTATATAATATTTCTTTAGGTCTTTAGAGCTTCAAATATATTTTATAAATACTCATAAAAAATAACAATAATAAAGTAAAGCTAAAAAGCTTTACTAATAAGATTTTATTAGTATTTTTAATAAGATTTTTTTCTTATTTATAAGATTTTATACTATAGTACATGATTCTAAATCCTTTTTTCTATCTAAAAATATTTTAAAATAAAATTTTGATTCTTTACATATACTCAAAAAAATTGGAATTTTAAGATTAAATAAATTAAAACAAGAAGAAAGATATCAAAAGAATTATATAATTAATGAAACCTACTATTTTTTCTTTCTAAGGATTATTTGATACTATTTAGAGAATAATTTTAGGTTCTTGAAAATATTATTTTAATTGATATAGAGCTTTTTAAGATTTAATGAAGATTATAATAATAAAATTAAACTATATATATATATATATATATATATATATAAATTATTATAAAAATGATATAAATATAAACTAAGAAGAGGTAACTTAAATATATTATATTATATTTAAGGAAAAGAATTTATTTTAGATGATTGAAACAAAATCAATACAATTTCATTTTAATCTCAGAATTTTATAGAAAAAATATTTACTTCATTAAAATTAAAAAATATATTTAACAATAAAAAAGAGTAAAAAAATATTTTTAATCTAATTAAAATTTATAGATGTTGATATATAGATGGGAGTGAAATATATATTAATATATTTTAAGATTATTAAAAGAAATACAAATTATTTTTAATAAAATATATAAATACTATTAATATTATTAAAAATTAATTAATTAATTTTATATTAAATATTAAATAATAATAATAACGTAAAAAAATTAAATTTATCATTAAAAATTACTTTATTAATTTTTTATTATATATCAAATTTTTATTTAAATTTATATATATATATATATATTTATATTTATATTTATATAGAAAAATATTAAAGTCACTCAAGTTTTTGTTATATCAAACTCATCTATTTTTGTGTCTTTTATTTATAATTCTCCATTTTTCGTTCAAACCTCTTGACCTAGTTTTTTTAAACCTCTTTTTCAATAAGAAGGTGCTTTGATAGGTCAACAATGCTTTGCAATGAAATCAAACAATAAAAGAAAAAGAAAAACAAAAAAAAAAAAAAAAAAAAAAAAACAAAAACAAAAACAAACAAAACAAGTGATTTGTATTGCCTTAAAACATGATTTGATAAAGATTTGTGAAAATCAATTACTTATGTTTATAAACTCCTTTAAGCCTATTATGTTATGTTTTGGAAGTGCTTAGACCTGCATGTCTTATGCATGAGTTTCTTTGTAGTAAAAGGTTAGAGATACTTTGAGAAGAAAATTTAAGATACTTTATACTATTTGAATCTTTTGCAGATGCGAGTCCTGAAGACAATAGATTTCTACAACTTTCTCAACAAACTCATCAATTTATTGGGTTCATGTTTGAAATTATGTTGAGAATAGATTTGAATCTCTTCCTCCTCCATGAAGACCATTGGAGTCCAATGGAAGCAATGTCATCAACTCTTGTCATTGCCATGCTTCTACATGGGGTCCAATGCTCTCTACTACTTCCACCCCTTTCTTTAACTTTTTTCTACTCATAATACCACTTTCCTGCTCCATATTATGTTGCAAGCATTAAGCATCATCATCAAGTTAGATAATTGTCTTTTGAAATTCCATTCTTAAATTGTGATTGTCATTGTGATTGAAGCTATTTCAAAGTTTTCATCTGCACTTATTTCTATGGATAGCCTAATCAGAACATTGTCAAGTGATTTGCAAAGATGGTAGCCTCAAGCTTGTTGAGCATGAGTTGTGTCTAGACATTGGCTAAATTCTTGTCCTTGGAATATCCAAGATTAAAGAGTAGGGTGTGTGGTTCATTGTTCTAAGTCCCAAGGTTTAATTCTTAGCTCAAGTGACAAAGCTTGGTTGTGCATGCGAAAAAAGAGACTCTTTTGGTGAGCATTATATTAACATCATGTAATGTTTGAAGTCTTAGTTGTAGGTGGATAAATGTTGAATTATTAAAAGAAAGGCTATTATAGATTAAATTCATAAGATATGTCGTTATATAAGACAATTGATGTAGGTCAAATAGCTATGACCTTATTTGTTGAACATGTTGTTCAAAACAAATGGATTGATTTTAGGTTTCTATGCAAACAACTGAGTGTTGTGGCAATAAATTGTATTGTGCAATTTAGAATAAAGCATGAGCAAGAGAAGAAAGAGTTGCATATAGAGCCTCTTATTCATACAAAGTTTGTTTCAAACTTAAAGTCCCATGCAATGCTATGCAATTAGTTGACTTAAATAGAAGGAATAGGAACAAGTAAAAATAGAAAGAATAGGGACGGTGTTGGAGTAGAAAGAATTTGCTTTAAAAAAGCATTCGAATTTTGGCTGTCATTAATTACTCAATCAAGCCTTAAGATTAAAAAAATACCCAATTTATACATAAAATTGTCCGTATAGAGGCAATTACATCAATACATAAGCTCTAAGTACCAAAGATCACCAAAAATGTGATAAAAATATTACAAAACCTTATATATCCTTAAGGTGAATTTTTTCCAAACTTCAACAGCTCATATCTCACAATCAAATTGTCAAAAAATACCAAAAATTTAAATGAAGAACTTTTCCTTCATCCATTTATATCTTGCTTTCATTCCTCTAAATAAATTTCCTAGAGGTTTGAATCTTCATCTTTCAGCCCCAATATTCTCCTTAAATTTATACTAAATATCTAAATCCTATATAATTTAAACACTTTAATTAACTTATGTAAACTTCAAAATAAATTTTCTTACATCAATTCTCTTTAAATTAACCTACTAACTATTCTAATATACATCAATACTTATAAATATATTATATGTTTTAATTAATTTTTACATATTATAAGCAACTACAATATTATAATGGATAGAGTCGATTTAACAAAAACTTAGATCATTTTAACAATTAATAGTTGTAAGGGTCTACATTATAAGGATTATTTTGTTATGTTATTTAAAACTAAGTAAAATAATTTTTTTTATATTTTAGAATTATAACACAATTCTATCATTGTTAAATTCATAATATTTTAATTTAATTTATTCATTTATTTTTTATATTTCAAAGTAATTCTATAACTATGTTCAATATCTTAAAACAAAATCATAAAGAAAAATTCAAGAAATAAATACAAGCTTTTTATTGATTTCAATTATTAATGATTAAGTCATTTAAAAATAATTTATTGATAACAATTATAGTAGCTTATAGATTTTATAGCAATTAATATTATTTTAGGATATTAAAGAATAATTTAACCATGTTCGTTCTTATTGAAGTCTACCTATACTTGTCTTAGAGGTCTTCTAGATTTTTTCAAAGTTATACCTTGTATCTTTTAACTAAAAATTGTACAACCAGTTACAAAACGGTTATTTTTATTTGGAAGCTAGATTTGCCATATTTTCAAAAAAGAATCCTAATTTTATTTTGAATATACTTCTAAGAGAATTTCCACAGTACCCAGAAGTGATTAGTATGCTAGAATGTGGAGAGTGCAATAGTTTCTGCAAGAGAGTCATGAAGCTGATAAAGTAGCTGGGGTGCTGGGAAGTGCTAGAGTTCCATCACTGATTCTATCCAGCATTAAACAGTTCCAGTGAGGAGGCATCAACAATGTGACTAATGAGGCATTTTTCTGAGCAGCCCACTTTGCTTTAAAAGCGTCCGTGCGCATCGACATATAGCACTAAGATGAGGTCCAACATTGGTGTTGTGTAAGGAGTCTGTTAAGTGCGTCGCAGGTCAAGCCTCTCTGGTTGAAAAGGAGGAGTAGGAGGAGGAGATTGCAGCTTGGCTACACTGTTTTGAGTGAAGAAAAACGGGGTTGACATGTTTCTCATGATCTAGTGGTGGTGGTGATGGTGGTGCTACCATGCTAGATGTGGCGTAGAATGATTGAGTTGCAGTAACTCATGCTTGGAAGGCAGAGTTCGTTTCCACTGGAAACGGCTTTCGGGAATTGGAGTGTTGTTGTCTGTGCGCACGCACTCGGCAAGTATGAAGCTGATTTGTGTACTACTTGAACTGTTGGTGGTGGTGGTGTTGTTGATGTGCGCCCAAGTGTATGGTGCACCTTTCCCTGCGCCGCAGATTAGATACTGTTCCAACACGACAGGTTGCTGTCCTCCGCCGGATGCTAGGGTACCAGTAGATTTCTTTTTTCAGCCTGGCTTGCCTATGAGAGTGCGAAGTGCCGCGCAATTCGTCGACGGCAAATATATTGCAAAGTATCGAAAAGCGTATGCGGCGATGAGAGCTCTCCCCCGATCGGACCCTCGGTCGCTGTACGCGCAAGCACAGTTGCACTGCGCTTACTGTGGTGGTGCATTCAAATACAAGGGTAGTGCATGGGGGCTGGAGATACACGGTGGGTGGTTTTTCTTTGCCTGGCATCGCGCATTCCTTTACTTCCACGAGCGGATCCTTGCAAGTCTCATTAGGGATCATACATTCGCTCTGCCATTCTGGAACTGGGATAACCAGTTGCCGATTGAACCCCTTGGGAATATCATTCCCTGTTACTTCGACGAAGTAGATAACAACCCCCTGTACTCTCCAAACCGAGCACAGTGCGCTCGTCCTCCAAACATCGTAGACCTCGCATACACTGGCGCAGGTTTGAACGGCGAGTGCCCTGATATGGAGGGACTGCAGGATTCGAACGGTGAGATCATGCGGCTTCAGATGTCGGCTGAAACGGCGAGGCTCTTCCACGGGAATCCATACAGATACAATACACGAGGAGGCAGGAGTCCAGGAAACATGGAACGCACTCCACACGGCAATGTGCACGTCTTCGCAGGAGATCCTTTGGCAGACCTTCGCCTTAACCCTGACACGCAGCAGAAATACGCTGCCTACGACGATATGGGGAACCTGAACAGGGCCGCCTATGACCCATTGTTCTACGCGCACCACACGAACTTGGATCGCCTGTGGGATTTCTGGATTAAGCAAGGCGGTGCACACACGGACTTTAGCGATCCCGATTATCTAAACTCGAAGTTCATTTTCTACGACGAGAAGCAGAATCTAGTTTCTATCCAGGTTAGCCAAGTCCTGGACTTGGACAAATTGAGGTATGCAACGCATTGTGTTTAAACCTCTTGTTTTGTGTAGTGTGTGGTTCCAAATGCCATACTTATTCTGGGAACAGCACTTCCATTGTTATTCTGTCTTTCTATCTCGTCTCGTTGGCTTACTACCCTGAATGTGACTCTAGATACAAATACGACGATATGATCAACCCCTGGCTAATGGAGCCGCCCCTCGATCCTCCTGACGAGATTGCACCGTCTCCCTCCATGTATGTTCCACCTCCGGCACCTCCGGCACCTCCGCCCGAGATGGGTATGATGAGAACCATAGCGGAAGCTTTCGCAACGGAACCGTCTCCCGGGCCAACGGCGGATCCAACCACCTGCTCACCAACTTTCGGCCCAGACGTGAGCAGAATCATCAGATACGCCCCACCACTGAGAAAGAACGGAACACAATTCTCCACAACGCCACTGACGTTTCGAGTTCGCAGACTGGACACCACGGGGAAGGGGTTCGAAGTACTGACGTTCTCCGACTTGGTGATGGACTGGACCGAGCCTGCACAGATCCACGCCTTCCTGTTCCTGCCGAATGCCACTGCAGCCTCGATCAGCTGCCCGGAGTTCTTCGGCACGTTCTCTCACATCCCTGAAGCAGCCCGCACCCGACCTAAGGATTTCAGCATGACATGGACGCTGGGACTGACAACCAGGCTGCGTGAGATCGGCAAGCTGCACGTCCGCCATGTCGTCGTCACGCTTGTCCAGATCGGTTCTGAGCAGCTCATCCGCTTCCAGGACGCCATTATAGAGATTGATAGTAGCTAACGAATCGGCGTGGGTCTAGCTATCGACAGCAAGCACACCCACTTCCCTTTCCCTTCTTTTTTGTACAAACGAATTGTCAGGCTTTACAATAAAAAACTAACATACAAACAAACAATCAAACAAAGGAGTTGATCACCATTCTAGAGCCTGGAATGAAGCTTGGGTTTTCCGCTCCGTGGATCTCGTACCCTTTGTTCTGATTTTGTTTTTTGTTTTCATGTGGTGCCACTCACACTCTGCTTCAGCCCTGAGAGCTTTAATTTTCAGTAAGATTTGGTGTAATGTGTCATAGATTCTCAGACTGGATGTTGAACAATGAGTTTTGAGTTGTTGAATAGCATAACAATAACGTCCACCTTTTTGTATTTATTGTCTCATATGTGTGTGCCTGTGTGTTACTCAGAATTGAATGATAAGAACAATACCTGAAAAGTGTCAAATATGATATACGAAGTTATGTTATATATATATATATATGTGTGTGTGTGTGTGTGTGTGTGTGTGTGTGTGCCACGAATGCATTCTTTACAACACTTTTTCTTCAGTGAAAGTTTGGGGTGTTGCTCTTTTGTAACCATGTCCTTGCTTGTGCTTTACTTTCTCCTCTTGTGTTTAGTTATTTGATTGTTTTAGAAGGCAAATTTCTTTTTGCTATTGTACAAGGGATCTCAACTTGAACGTTTCTTATAATCTATGATTTTAAATATGATATTAACCTCCAAGATTGTATAAGAATTTATGTAGTACTTTTATCAATTAATTAAAAATATTCATAAATTTATAAGACGTATCAGGAAAATGCAAAAAGGATGACCGATCCATTTACACAGACAATGTGAACATAAGAAATTTCTGTAACAAATGAGGTGAAGACAGAAATTTTAAAAACAAGAATCAAAGACTGATACGTAATTTTTATCTTCCATGTTATTGAACACAATTATCTAATAATTTGAATTAGTTTTTGTTATTGAATCTAATTTATGCAGGTCAAAAGTGTATCGAGCACATCTAGAATTGATCCAAAATCGGTTTCAAAATAATTATTTCCTGAAGTATCACAAACTGTGCAATTATTTATGTTTACTTTTTTTTAAACTGTTGGATCATGTTTCAAAGATAAAAAATAAAAATAAATTAATAAATTAAAAAATAAAAAGAGAAAAATAAAAAAAGAAAAAATATATAATATTTTTTACAAAACATTGTTGAGATTTTAAAATCGTGTTTCTTTGTTTTGATCACTTGACATCAAAATTTCTTCCTTATATTTATAAAAGTAATCAGAATTTAATTAAAAAAACAAAATATGGTAAAAGATCTTCCATGCCATTATATGTAAAATAAAGTCTTCAAATATGAAATAACTATGGTTTCTGTTTATTTACTATGAAAACCATTATTTAATAGTTAAAAATCTAAATATCATGATTTCTTTCTTGTGATTATTTTTCCTTTCAGGAAAACAAGCATTAAAATATTTAGTATTTAGTATGTATATATCAAATGTATATTATTTTGTGGTAGTGTTACTTTTAATTGTGATATTTTGATGGACTCAGAAAATCTCGTCTTGTGATTATCCTTGAGTTCTTACATACAATTTCATATTTTAAAAAAGATGTGAAAAAACGTGTTTTTGTATTTAAGCCAGTCTCCAGAAATTTTTGGTTTAAACCACTCATGTTCAATCGATACAACTGTATTTGATTATTCAACTGTAATTGAAATAATTTTTATTTCATATAATTTTCTCAAAAACTTTTAATATACTAATAAGATATTTCAGAAACTTCATGATTTTCTCCCTTGTATAATTTTTAATAACTTAGGTAAACATATTTTGTAATTACGGCTTAGTTTCATTACAAAAGCATCAATGTGTAATTGCTCGAAAGAATTCAATTGTTTAGATTTTATTGACAAATCATCCTTTATAGTATATATTTTGCAAATATAATTTTTCATTGACAGATTGATATTTTCAAGAGTTTCCATATATCATACAACGTATTTGTAATAAATAATTTGATCAATCAATTGACAATAAAAATAAATCTTATGTTTTTAAAACAACAAGAATTAACTATTTCAGATTTTTTTTTAAGAAATTTAAAAATAACATGTACATTATTTTTATATATAGATATATTAAATAATTACATATAGATTTTTTTATAAAAAATTACTCTGATAAAATTACTATAAATAAAGTATTTTGATCAAAGAATTAAATATTTATTATAAAAATAATTAAGTACTTCAATAGATTATATAAGTACTTAGTATATAAGATTTCTTAATAAAAAAATACTAAGAAACTTATGATCAAACAATTAAGTACTTATTGAAGTACTTAATAAATTACATAATAGTAAAAATCAAAAAATTAAGTATTTTAATAAATTATAATTTTTTTATAATAATTACTTCAATCAAAGAATAATATATATAAAAATATAAAAAAAAATTATATAAAAAACTATAATATAATTAAATACAAAGAATTGTTAAAGCCACGCCTTAATGTTATTAAAACCAAACCTTTGCTTGCCATCTCATGATTGATTCTTTTTCTATTCTCCATGTTCTCATTTCCAATTTCAGACAGATCCTTCTTTATATTCCTTTTCTCTCTCTTCTTCTATTTGCAAAACACCATTGTTCTTGTCATCGTTCCTTATTCCTAACAATCCTCTTCTCTCCTCCTCTCTCATTCTTATTCTTGGTCTAAAACAAGCCTTGCTTCACACTCTCTTTTTTTCTCCTGCTTCATCCACAAAATACCTCTATTCTTGTTGTTGTCTTTTGTTCTTATTTCTTGTTTTCAATTCTCCTATTTAGTATATAATTGTTACCTTTCTCCTTCAAGCATCTTGATTTAGCTCTAAAAAACTTGTACTTGTATTTCTAATATATTTTATCTTTCATTGAGGTGGTCAATATACATAAGATTCTTATCAATACATAGGAACATATTACAAATCTAGTAGAGCTTGATTGAAACCTTCTTTTCTAATGAATTAACTAGCTTGTAATAATTAAATAGAGATGGGAATGGAAACAAGGGATAAGGATAAGAATAAAAGGGCTATGAACAAGGAATAGAAATAAGGAACTAAGATGGAAACCATGGTATTTTACATATGGAAAAGAGAGGAGGTAGTAAGAAGCTATGCTTGTCCAAAGCAAAGAATGGAAATACGGAGGCTAGAAACAAAGAATGGAGTCTTGAATGGAAAAATAAAAAAAAAATCAATCATGAGATGGTGTTAAAGACATGAATTGGAAAAAGATGCATAAATCTAAAAAATTTGTGTTAAAAGAAAAGTGACAAAATAGCAATAAAGTAGTATGTATAATAAAACGAAATTAAAATGGCTATTGCCAAAAGACAAGGAAACTAGAGACTCTTAAATCTAGATTAGAAGCAAGAAAGGAGTTGACAAGAGTGAAGAGGGCTTTACTTTCACTTTTATATATATTATCTAATTAGGAGCTACGTGGCAATGTTCTATAAGATCTCTAATATGTGTTGACTTTGCAAGATACATGCTTTAGCTTACAAGGCAAGTTTTCTATGTGTCCACCACATAGTTAGCTTGTTCTTCAAGCAACCAATTTGTTGATCATGTTTCTAACTTAAAAAGTCAATTATGGGCACTTTAAAATCAAAGCAGCATCTATGAAGCTTCTAGGAAGCCCCTATAGAAGATATTATGGAATTAATTTATTTTTATCTACTTTTATTTAATCACATAGATAATTATTGGTTTATATGTGTATGTCTATGACATTACCATCCCTTCAAGAAACAAGTTCCATGAAGAGCGGTCATCATATGTTGAGGAAATCCAAGATGTGGCAAATTATATTTGCCACATACTCTGATCTTTGTTTTTTTCAAAGATGGTTGATAGGATCTCTCAACTATTGATAGTGTCCCATATGAGAGCGACACAACCACCTAGTTATTTGGTCATTGTTGAGGCCTTCATAACTTCTTTAAAATAAAATATTTGGAATACCATCAAGAGATGTTTCTATTTCTAATAAAATCACCAAACATCAAAAGTCCCTTCCAAAGTCATAATATCAAATGTATTATATCTCGCCATCTATTCGAAGAAGAATATGTCATTCTTGAGGATCTTCATCTTAATTGTGTCGTCTTCAAGGTTGTGAAAATTACAATGTTTCATCCAACAAGTCAACAAACAAAGGCTCTTGAGTTGAATGTGCTAATTGTTGGTTTTTCATTTCTTTAATATCACAAATATATAAAAATCACAAACAAAGATAGAAAGTAAAATACAATCTTTCTTCAATCTTGTTTTTTTTATAATAAAGACTTATTATTCTTTATCTTGATTTTGATGGATGTCATCAATAAAAAGCCTTCATTGCCTTTGTTACATTTATAAGATTTTTTACTAGCTTCCACGTACATTTATTAATATCATATCCACACCAATAAAAAAAGATATTCCAATTAATTTTGGTACCGCCTTGAATCTAGAACTTATTCTACTTCAAACTCTTCATTATTATCTAATTTTATAAGAAGAGGTGGAGCTAGTCTTTTTCTTAAAATATTCACAGTCTTGCATGGTTCAAAAAGAGACATGTAAAAGACAAGAAGGATCTTCATTGACTCTTGTAGATATAATCGATAAGCAACTAAATTGATTTGTCTACAAATAAGAAAAGGTCCAAGCTTGCAATAATCCAACTTATCACAAAGACAAATAGTCTTGATATTACGACAAAGTAATCATACCTTATCACCTACATTGAATTGTGGTTGTTTCTTTTGATAGGTATTCATATTGATCTTTTGTTGTTCTTGAGCTTCCTTTAATTACACCTTCATTGTTGCATGTAGCTTTGAGAAATGATTTGTCAAACCTCTTGCCATAGGATTATTGACTTTTAAAAAGTCAAAAGTATCAAGTTGTAGATGGTAACCATAATTAACAAAGAAAGATATTTCTTACATAGAAGAATGCATTGTATTATTATAAGCAAACTATGTCAATGGCAAGAAGATTTTCCAATCATCTTCTTGATAATTGATGGTACTCCTCAAGTATTGCTTTAAAACTTATTTTACACACTCTATTTGCCTATCAGTTTGAAGATGAAAGATTGAAGAAAGTTTTATGTCCATCTTTAAAATCTTAAAAAGAATTCTCTAAAATCTTGATACAAATTGAGTCTCTTTATCCAATATAATATCTTTTGGCAATCCATGATATCAATAGATATTATCAAGGAAAAGTTTGACAGTTTCTTCACCTATGATAGATCTTGTATAGGTACAAAATATGCCATTTTGATAAAATGATCTACTATCACAAATATA